TGCTGATTTCCTGCCTTCAGCCACCACCACCACCCCACCCCACCCCCGCCCAGGAACCACACTGTCCGGATAACCAAGTCAGTAGGGTTAGAAAATGCCGCAGTTTAAGAAATCTGGCTTCCATCAGCCTCTGTCATGGAGAAATAAACTTGACTCTCTCTCAGTAAGCAAACACGATTTTAAGATCACAGATGAAAACGTTGGGCGGGGAAGATGAGGCTGTGGGGAAAGAGGAATGAAGAGCAAAGACAAAGGAAATTCCGAGCTATCAGAGTTGCCGCAGAGATTTCTCTAAACAAAGACTTTCATGAAGCAGCTGAAGTTCGCGCAGGAACGACTCCACCCTGCCCAGCTTCTGCAGCGGCTTTCCCTGCTCGGAAAGCGCCAGCCCACACAACTGACTCCGATTAAAAGTGCCTTCGGGGCTCCGTTTTAAGCACTCTTGTTTTCTTTTAAACGTCCTATTCTTACATTCAGGCGAAAAAAAAACAAAAACAAAAAAACAAAACTGATCTACCCTGGCTCTTCCTGGACGGCAGAGCTCACTCTGCCAGGACAAGCACAGAAGCTCCGGAGTCAAGCTGTTTCCCAGGTACAAGTCCCAAGTCCCACAGCCCCCTTCTCAAACTTTAAATAGTCTCCTCTTCACACTCTTCCTGCAGCTTAACATTCCATCTAGTCCCAAACCAAGCCATAAACACCATAAAGCAAAGCAAAAGGCAAACTCACCATTCTCTTGTTCCTGGGCTTTTATTGAGACACAGTGCCCTAATAAAACAGTGAGAATGAGGAGAGGTCTTGCTACCACCCAGTTTGCCATCATGTCTAAATCTGAGACATGTGGGTCCTGGGAACGAAGAGTAGATACTGAGGTCACTGTAGCACCATGAATTCCGCTGAGGGCTCTTTTTCAGCACCAGCCCCCAGGCCGCCTCAGCCTGTTTCAGCACCAGCTCCGGCACAGTCTGCGAAAACTTTTTTCAAGCGATGCAGCTTTAAATAGGAAGAATGCTGCCTCCACTTCTTTTCCTGCCCCTTTCAGCTTGTTCAGGCTCATAACCATCCAGTGTCTGCCAAGCAACCGTCTGATTGATGGTAAACAACCAAATCAGAGCGCGCGCTTCTGCGACTTGGGTTTTCACTACTTCTTGTAGACTTTAAGCGCAGATGGAGCCAAAGAGAGACAAACTTTTATTTCTTTCTGTTGAGTGTGTGTGTGGTTTTTCTTTTCTTTTCTTTCTTTCTTTTTTTTTTAAAGAAAGCCTAATAGAAGAAGTCTAACCCTCCCCTCCCTACCCTTCCCCCAGACACACACCCCCTGACTTTTCCAGAGGTACTAAAAAAGGTTCAGGGAGGATGGACACCCTTTCAGTGAATTTTTTTTCTTTCTTCTTTTTCTTTCTTTCTTTTCTTTCTTTCTTTCTTTTTTGCGTTTAGGTATTCTGAACTATCTTCGCCACTTTAAGCCTTTAAAAAGTCATAATTTTTAACCCTTTCTTTTGACTGCCGATGAAGACTTCTTGTTCCAATCCTCATTCTGTTTCCTTTCTCATGCTCTGAGAGGATTCTTAGAGAAGAAACTAGATAAAACTGCAAAACAAACTTGAGATGCTTTTCACTAAGCTATTTCTACATCTCTTAAAGAGTAATATCTATACATTTTCCTTGTCACAGAGCATTTTACTATGTTAAAACAAAGAAAAATCTGCTAAGAGTTGTGTAGACTGAGGAAAACACACTGCTTTTGGACGAAGAAAGGGTGGGTTCCAGCATCAGATCTGCCACTCACCAATTTTGTGAAGTTCTACATAGTCCTTATCTCTGTGCACTCCAATTTTCTTGTTGGAAAAAGGGCTTTTCCCTGACCAGTGTGCATGGTTTGGCGACACTAAAATGAGTAATGTGCCATTAACTACATTCCAAATTGCAAAGCGCTACCTACATAAAAGTGGATGGTACTGTTATTAACCCTAAATGGCTTTCCAGGAAGCACGGTAGTCCCAGCTGAACGTTCCTGTTATGAGCCAAAGCCATTAACTTTATGCCCTACTCAGGCTTGACAAGACCTTGCATTTAAAGCAGTCTAATATATTTGATACCTTGAGTCCTCAAGGATCAGCAGTCTGTCCACACAATATGTGACTCAACTGTAAATAATTATTTGGTACTGATTAGGTACCTTGAGCCTCACTGAACACTGAAGGGAGGGGCTTTGGGAGTTTGAATGTAATTGTCTCCTTTAAGTTCATAGGGAGTGTCACTATTTGGAGGTGTGGCTTTGTTGGAGTAGTTATGGCTTTGTTAAAGGAAGTGTGTCACTGTGGAGGTGGGCTTTGAGGTCTCTTATATGCTCAAGCCACAATCAGTGTTTCAGTTCACTTCCTGTTGCCTATGACTCAAAGATGTACAATTCTCAACTTCTTCTCCAGCACCATGTCTGTCTGCACACTGCCACGTCCCACCATGATGATAACAGACTAAATCTCTGAACTTTAAACCACCCAATTAAATGTTTTTCTTTATAAGAACTGCCATGGTCACAGTGTCTCTTCACAGCAATAGAAACCCTAATTAAGACAATGGCATACTAAAAATAAAGGCCACATCTGTCATCTTTAAGAAGCATATGTAACTGATGAAAACTACATAAAACAAAAAAAAATTACAAACCAGATATATAACTGTGTGGAATGAATTAAACCTCCAAAATAAAAAAAGTCTATAATTAGAATAGGAATATAGGCTTGATTTACTATTTAATTTTCTTAGTAAAAGAAATCCCAGAGGCTTCAGTTTGAGAGGTACAGGTAGACTCTGGAAAAGTTCAAAGAATGGCTTCCTAGCCCTATATAGTGACTCCCTCACCAATACTGCTGTTCCCATTGCTGTCTTGCTCCCACTTAATAGGCTAAATGAAGAGCAAAAATCAACCTTCTTCTAATTCTTTGAATAATATCTGAGAAAATCCATGATGTCAATACGCTTGTTAATCCCTCATCAAGGAATTCCCTTTTGTAGCAGATGGATATCACTTCAGAAAACCACAACCAATTAAAATGCAGAGTTGAGTGGCCAAATTTTAATGGATCCATCTACAAAACAACTCCTGAACCTAAGGCTCAGGGAACATTGAGGAAGAGGAAATACAAAGAGTCAAAGGATCAGCAAGTTTGCTATGAAACGGTGTCTGCTACTAATAATATCAGAAGCTACAACCATAAAGTCTCACCACCATGACTGCCTAACCATGAGTTGACCAAGGACAATACCAATAAGCATGCCAAAGTAGACAGAGGAAAGACCAGGAGTCCTCAACCTGACACAGATGACTACAGGCAACTAAGGAATGCTAAGCATGAGAGAAATAGCCTTCCTCAGTGAAGAGCATACCAACTGGTTATCCAATACCAAATGGTCATCCCTGAAAATATGCAAGCAAGTAACATGATACAGAAGATGCAGGGTGCAGTTATGCATTTAGAAATAGATAAGTTTGTGTGTGTTTACATTTATGCACCTAACTACAATTAATGAAAAAATAGGCCATGAATTTGAAAAAGGAAGAGTGTATGAGAGGGCCTGGAAAGAGGAAAGGGAAGAGAGAAATGGTGTAATTATAATCTCAAAAAGCAAAATAAAAAGGGTATCTTCTTAAATAATCAAAGGCAGTAACAAAAAGTAAATAAATACAGGAAAAATATAGTTTTCACTGAGATTACTAGTTTTCTTCTACTATGAGACCATTTTAGATAACAACATTATCCTGGCACCAAAAAGTATCCTGGGCCAACTTTTTGGGTATTTGCAATCTTCACTGAAATACTGAGATAAAAGATGTTTGTAGAGGATCTACAGCTCTTGGAAACTATTTCCAGGCTGAAAGTTCAAACATGATAAGGTAAGATTGCCGGAGCCAAGTGAGCAAATCTAATCCTCAGTATCTGCTCCTATCAGTTTCCATTTGCTGTTACAACAGTTATTATAAGCTTGACAATATAAGTATTTTAAGTTTACCTGTGAGCACAACTTCCATAGGAGAAATTAGAAACACAATGAAACCATCTCTCAGACCTCCATAATTTCTACCATCTCTTTGCATCACACTAGAAGTCTGTGATAAGACCATGCATAGGAGGCATTTTCCTGAGAGCTGAGACAAATCAGTGTCTGCACCGTAGTTCTCCATGAGCTTCTGCCATCTGTTGCCATGAAGCCATAAATAGTGAACAGTTTTCAGCTAGAGCTTTTCTTCCTCAACAATGCAGAAAATTCTAGAATGTACACAGGTGTCAGCAAATATACCAGTTTAACAGATGTAGTTGAATTGAATTCCTGGGGAATTAAACGCCACTATTTCTTAGCCTTTTGAGAAGTAGAGGATGAGCTCTAGTCATTATTGTTGGAGCAGGGCTGTCAGAATTAAGGCCCAGTTCTCATGAGGCATGCCAGCAACCCACCACTGCAAATACTTAAGTGAATCTCTAGCAGTTCTCATAACAATTCTAAAGCCTTACTTTACTATTAGTTTTCAAACTCTCTATAAAAAAAAAGCTATGCTTTAAAGAAGCTTACTTGATCAAGTCTGCCGTTAGTCCATCAAAGTTCCTACTTATGTGATGGTTAACGTCACATGAGGGTTACCATTGCTTCTTGGCTCTTCTAGACCTACCTGACACCATGTTCCTATCTCAAGAAAAAAATACATCTTTAGCACTCTTTCTGAGTTTATCTCTCCCTCTCCATTCTTCTCATCCCTTCAACTTATCTTGGGACAGTTCGCCCTTTCTCTCCTTTGTTTATCTGATGGGTAATCTTCAATGTCAACTTGACAGCATCCAGAGTCAAACCCAATCATCTTGGGCATGCCTGTGAGGATAAAGGTGGGGAGACTCAAACATCAGCTCCACATGCTGGTGGCAACTCACATAAAGGGATATGGAAGGAGGTTTTTGCTTTCTTCCTGTGGCCCTCACTGCCACTGGCAACTTCATCTCTTTGCTGGTATTAGAAACAAGTTATTTGGGATTCCAACATAGACTGAAGACTAGCAGCTCTCCAGGAATTCTCTGGAATTCGGAATTCTAGGCCTAGAATGGGACTGCTGAGACATCCAGCAACGAGTCTTGGACTAAACAAAAACTTTGTACCATAAGACAGCTAGTGTGGTACTACCCAGACCACAGCCTGTAAGTGTAAGCCACTCTAATAACTCTCTCCCCTTCTGTGTGTGTATGCGTGCGCGTGCGCGCGCGTGTGTGTGTGTGTATGTATGTATGTATGTATGTATGTATGTATGTATGTATGTTTATGTATATGTCTATGTAAATTATGTCCAAGGACTTAATCCCAATACCCTTCTTCCTCCAGTTAGTCTCTGTGAGTTTTAGACTAGCCTGGACTACAAGAGCTAATCCAGGATAGCCTTCAAAGCCACAGAGAAACCCTGTCTCGAAGCCTCCCCCCTGGCCAAAAAAAGACTGTTCATCCACTAAAAACGGCAGAAACATGGATTCTATAAGGGACAACACTTCTGCCACCTATGTAGATAATGAAGCCAGCAAAACTTAGCCATTGCCTCCTTGGCCAGCCACACTTCTATTTTGTGATACAGACTGACATGTTTAAAGAGATACCACACTGTATTTATCGGTATCTTCTACCACAATGAAGGCTCCTTGATGGGTATTTGTTGGGTATTTGTTCCAAGTAGTTATTTGTTGAACACATACTATTTAGTAAAAAATCAAAAAGGTGGTTTATAACAAAGACAGAAGTGTTAGTGAGCATAAATAAAGATGCTTGCAAGATGTCTACTCTAGATGACTAGGAAAATAATAGAAATAACTATACTATACAAGGAATAGGTAAAATAGCAGAAATAGAGCACATCATTCATTAGGTTCACCTATACATATAAACTCGTTAAAAAAGCAACATGGGAATTTGAACAGAAAAAAAATGCATTATTTTATTAACATAGTCCCTTTGGAAGCCACTAAAGCACAGTAATAATATGGTTGGTATTATTAAATACCATGTAAGGCACCTCATGCATATTAAAAACTGCTGCTTCGTTTTCTATAATCTCTTGAATTTCCTATTATCCCATTTTCATCAAGAAGAAGCTTGTAAAAGTCAGTTCTCTCCCACAGTACAAATCTTGAGGATCAAACTGAAAATGTATAGCTTAACAGTATGCATCTTTACTTTATCACAGGTGCTACGGGATCTTTTCAAGTAA